CCCGGCACCCTCCCTGGGTGCCTTTTGCCAGGACGGGGAGGGCCCAAGCCCACTCGGCTCCTGGACCGCGGCAGAGGCAGCAGCAGCACCTGGACCATGGCGGAGGACGGGCCGAAGCAGCCACAGATCAGCATGCCGCTGGTCCTGGATGAGGCCCTGACCAAGCAGATGCGGCTGCGCGTGGAGAGCCTAAAGCAGCGCGGGGAGAAGCGCCAGGACGGGGAGAAGCTGCTGCGGCCGGCGGAGTTCGTGTACCGCCTCGACTTCATCCAGCAGCAGAAGCTGCAGTTTGAGCGCTGGGACGTCCTGCTGGACAAGCCGGGCAAGGTCACCATCACGGGCACCTCCCAGAACTGGACGCCCGACCTCACCAACCTCATGACGCGCCAGCTGCTGGAACCCGCGGCCATCTTCTGGCGCATGGAAGGCTCGGATGCCGTGGATTGGAACGAGGCCGACGCCCTGGAGTTCGGGGAGCGCCTGTCGGAACTGGCCAAGATCCGCAAGGTCATGTACTTCCTCATCACCTTCGGCGAGGGCATGGAGCCCGCCAACCTCAAGGCCTCCGTGGTCTTTAACCAGCTCTGAGGCAGCTGCTCACTGCTGCCCCCTGCTCTCGCCCATCTGCCCTGCCCCCCGCCCCCGCCCCCAGGTGTGTATTTGGGGACCTGTTTCTAGTTGCTGTCCTGTGCTCAGCGTGGCCGGGACCCCCAGGCCTGTGTCCTCCCTCCTCTCCTCTCCTCTCCTGGTGCGGGTGCTCCTGCTCAGGGAGGAAGATGCGAAGGCTCTGTAGTCTAGTAGCTGAACTGGCTGCCGCTGCTTGTGCTGTAGACCCGGAGGCCAGGCCGGGGCTAGTGCGGGAGGATGGAGCGTCCGTGGGCACCTGCCTTCTCTGTGCCTCACTGTCGGGAGAGAGACTGAGGGAGACAGACACAGACACAGACAGGGATCCGAAGAACCAGCCATCGGCTTCCTCTGCAGACGGGGAGACGGAGACGGAACGGCAGAGCGGCTCCTCGGGAATCCAGCAAACAGGCATTTGCTGCCCGTTCGGCCACATCCAGGAAGGTGCTGCTCCTGGCCTGGGCCTGGTGTGAGCGCCTCGGGGGCCCTCGGGACATTTGGGCAGTGAGGACTGGCTGGCACGCTGGAGGCTCTTCGGGCCAATCTTCTTGCTCTTCTGAGAATGACTGTAGGAGGGAGCGTGAAGGGGAGCATAAAAGTCATGCAGAGATGACCTGTCTATACATATGCATATACACTGAGAGAGAGCACGCTGCCTTCACATGGATATATTCTAGAGTCTATGCCTGCCCTGTGGTCAGACCGGACCTGAGATGATCTATGATAGGATTGCCCAGCTGGCTCACGCCTGGCCCGTAGCAGGGGCTTGGTCAGCATGACCTTAGGGAGCGGGGCTTCCTGAGCTGGGAGGCTCTGAGGTTCATCCTGTGAAGGGGGAAAGTGTAGTATAGGGGTTCCCTCTGCCCGGGGGAGCTGGGTGGAGGGGTCCAGAGCCCGGGAGCTGCGACGGTAGGTTCTAGGGCCTTGGATGTCCCCACTGGGTCGTCAGCTTCCCAGCTCACTGGCCAGAGGAGGTGAGTGTGCACCTGTGTGCCATCTCTGGCATCTGTGTGGAGCTGAGGGGTGGGGGCAGCCTGCCGGGGCAGTTGTGATGGCCGATGGTGGAAGCGGGCTGCAGATGGCCGCGTGCTGTGGTGGGAGGACACCGGCCTCAGGGGTCACTGGGCACAATCCACCCGCCAAACAGGGAACACGAGACACCGTTATCAGCAGACTCAGTTCTGCTCCCCAAGCCTCACGCCCCTGCACAGGCCCAGCGAGCCCCCTTTGAAGGAGGGGCCTGGCCCGCCTGGCATCCGCTGAGGGCACCTCAGGAAGTGCCCCCAACACCCTGCCGCAGGCCCCGGCTTTTGTCAGGGACGTGCCCTGTCAGGGACGTGCAGTGACATTTCCCTCACAATGCAGAGCCCTCAGGGGGTCGCAGGTCCTGGGAACAGATGCACTGAGAGGTGGAGGTCAGAGCCCTCCCCACTGGAAGGGGCTGCTGGCAGGCGGGCCCCCACTTTGGAGGTGTGGGTGGAAGTCTGGATTCCTCAGGTGGGAGACTGGCTGTGGTGTGGGCTCCGGTCCTTTGTAATGCGGCTCTGGCCTGTCCGGGATGTGCTTACAGTCCTGGCATTGCCTGCTTTGCTTCCCCACTGACTATCGGGGGGCCAGGCCCCCTGCCTCTTTGCTTGCCCTCTCCCTGCAGCTCTGGGGACCCTCTTTGGCAGACTGCCTGCCTGTACCCCCACCCTGCCCTGTGCGTGGCCCCAATAAAGCCAGTGAGCCCTGCCTCCGTGGTGTGCAGTCTCTCGCCGTGAGCCACCCTCCCCTCAGGAGCTCTGCCTTAGCCCCGTCCCCTCACAGCCCAGAGCACCCCTCCGCAGGCTCCTCCCACACTCCCCGCCCCTCCAGCTGCTTCCTGGGATGAGGCCCAGCATGGTCAGGTGACTGGCCCATGGTCAGGCAGCAGGAAGGAGTTTAGAACCACGTCTCCTGACACCCGCCCGGGAACCAGTGCCCCTGACGGCATTTTCTCCAGTGGCCCCAGACCAGCCTCTGTGTGGGGCCTGCAGAGCCGGGCTGAGGCCATTAGGAGGCACCTTCTGGTTCAGGAGGTGGGGCCCCGAGGGGATGGGTGGGATGCACCTGGCAGGCGGCTGGGTGGATGCAATGGGACTGGGGCATAGCTAGGGGGTGGGGTTAGGCCTGGGCCCCCGTTTCACCCGACCTCCTCACCAATTTGCTGCCTGTGCTCAGCCATCTCCCAGCCTCGGCCTCTCTGGAGGGGGCAAGCTGCTCCCGTGAAGTCCTTTCCGCCCTGCCCGCTGACCAGATAAGACGGATATTTCACATCCCAGTGTCCCATCTGAGTCTTCCTCAGAGCTCTGGCCCTTGCCATCTCTAGCTCACTCCCTGTTGGGGCAGAGACAGAGGCCTAAAGGAGGCAGCAGCCGGCCCCACATCACGGAGGGCGGGGACCGGGCTCTGGGTCTGTGGCCTCTGACTCCATGACATGCCCCCTGGGATGAGCAGAGGCGATGCCTCCACCTACCCGAGGGCCCGGTCTCGGGCGAGGCTAGTTCCTTCCCAGGGGCCACGGTCAGACCCTGCTTCAGAGCCCACACCGGGGGCTTTGCTTGCGAACAACCCCTGCTTCGAAAGGCTCCCCCCAGCCAGGTCTCACATGCCTGTTGTCCACCCAGAGCCCTCCGCAGAGCTCGGGCACACACCTGCGGGAGTCCAGGTCAGCCCTGCCCAGCCGGATTTGAGCCCAGCCACTTGGGTCGAGGCGGGAGTCCACTGGGACAATCCTGGGAGCATCCAAGGGCCGGGGACACCAGGGGGCGCTGTGGTGCACCCATTAGTGGGGCCCAGAGGTCTCTGAGTGATTCTGCAGTGAGTGCTGGTTCATGGGGTCCCCTGGGTGTGAGGGGGGCTCCAAATCCCACACAGCTTCTACCTCGCTGCCTGGTGAGGCCAAGTGAGTGCCTCGACCCCTCAGGCCTCCCTTTCCCCATCTGCACAGGGGGCTGTTGGGAGGTTTGCTTTTCTCCTTTGGGGGGAGGTTGACTGTCACCTCGGCTCCCTCCCACCCCCGAGGTTGGTGAATTGTGTGCGTGCACCACACTCCCTACACCAACAGGGATGACCCTTCATGTGTGCACAGCCCTCCACAGTTCATGCAGCACCTCCCGGGCCATGATCCGCCTTAGTCCCCACAACAGTCCTGGAGGTAGGGCAGGTAGGTGCGGGCACCAGAAAGGTGGTCCAGTCCAGACTCAGGTCCCTGCCGGGCAGCGCAGCTGGTGCTTGTCCCCGTGTGTCCCGGTCACCGTCAGCCAGGGCCTCGCAGAAGCCTGGGGATTGTCCTCTCAGGAAGACACAGCCGGCTGTGGAGCTGGGCCAGGCCCTGCCTGGGTGCTGGATCCTGGCATGAGTGAGACACGCCCTGCCCTCCAGGAGCTCCCCTCAGGGGGCAGGGAAGGAGGAGGAGCTGCCCAGTGGTGCCCAAGGGGGGTGTGAGGTCAGGAGGCCCTGCAAGGTGCGGCTCAGCGATCCCCGAGGGACAGGGAGCAGGGCGGGTGCCTGCAGGGAGCCACCCATGCATAGCTGAGGTGGCTAATGCCTCACAGGGTGTGGATTCTGTGGGGCCCCAGGGAGGTAGTGTGCAGGGATGAGGTTGAGAGTCAGCACAGCTGCCCCTCACAGGCTTTGAATGCCCGGCCAGGGAGCCGGTGTCCCTGGTGATGGGCATTTCAACCGTAGACAGCCAAGAAGAGAGAGGCAGCCTAATGAGCTGCCCGTACCCATCCCTTCATTTCAACAATTGTCAACTCACAGCCCATCTCTTTTCCTCTGCCCTCCTCCCCCCAGGAGACATCTGTACGTATAAAAGCCTAAGCAACCGTTATGACCAGACTACCGGCCGGTAGCTATGACATGCACTGACCACCAGGGGGCAGACGCTCAACACAGGAGCTGCCCCCTGGTGGTCAT